TGGTGAGTATTGTTGAGACTAGAGCAAACGCAGCAGCTTGGTCTGAGTATGTGTTGTACAGTGGTCCGTACTGCAAGACTGTAGGTAGATCATCAAACAGAATCGACTTGGGCTTCGCACGAAGAATAAGTCGGAACACCCAGGCTGTGAAGGCTACAATGGCGACAACGGTCAGTGCCGCAATGGCCACAGCAGCTTGCGTAGAATCAGCAGCTACAACCAACTGGAAGCAAGAGAGTGACACAACAGGAAGAAGAAAGAAGTTGAAAACGATGCGGACCACATTCCCGACAGAAAAGGGGATATTCTTCGACCGGAGGTCTTCTTCTGATGTATTTCTGATCTTTCGGTAGATCCATTGGAGCAAGAAGGCAGCTTGTGCCAACACCGTAACAGAACCCACAACGACGCAGAGCCAGACCATCATGCCTGGCCAAAGATCGGCAGTCAACTCCAAGCCCACAAGCTGGCCCAACCTGTGCAATCCGTAACTACCGTCAAGGACATACACTCCATCCTGAACAGGCTGGTAGTAGGTCGAACTGTTGGTGGCAATCGTCTGGTTGAATAGGAGCGCGGACCAAGCCACCTGGCCCACGATAGGCTGATAGAATCCAGGATAGGACAGGCTCAACGATCCTGTCAACACCGCAAATTGGATATGGTGCAAACAATCACCGAAACCGGGCGTCACTAATCTTAGGAGATCTGTGTCGCGGCCATAGTTGGAGGTCCAGTGGAAGATATCCGTCGTACCCCAAGGGCTCCAGATGGCGGCAAAGATAGTTGCAAAGCCAGTCAAGGCGAGGACTAGAAGAGGGATAAACTCAATTATCCGGGCATAGTCACCAAGATCAGGTGTTACCGTCGCCGTGATACAAGCAATGGTGGTTTTATTGACGTCACCATAGGTGATGAGAAAATTGGGGGTGAAGGAAGTAAAAACATATGATGAATTGACGTCGCCGGTGATATTAATTGTAGGGAGCCCATACGGGAAGTTGCTAGACAGAAACGAGCAGCATTAGTATCAAAGAGGGACCATGGAAGCAATCTAGACACTTACTCCACGCGCCACACAGGGCCCAACGGACATTCTGCGCCAACGCCCAGACCCCCAGAGCAAAAATCCACGTCTGGCTGTTGATATGGCCTGTATGTGAGCACGTCAACATGGCGAAACAGCGTGGTCGCCTTTCCCTGCTCGCCCTCCGGCTGCCTAAGAATCTTGCCGTCGGTCTGGGTCACATCGGACCAATGAGGGTCCCCTTCCCCTGGAAGGGTAACTCTATTATATGACCCAGTAACGTTCCCATACACGATCACTTCAAGCTTGTGGCTGGGGTTCTCCGTGTCGAAAAAGGCGTGAACCTCGGCTGGTGCGAATTGTAGTTTAGGTGGTGTTGCGGATAGATAGTCGTCGGAGAGACAGTTCTGAAATGGTAGTTTTGCGGCAAACACAGGTGTTGTCGGAAGGAACAGGACGATCAACGACACCAGCAGGCTCCATGCCGGTGATTGACGATATCGCCAATATGATTGCGCTCCAAGGCTGCTCCTAGTCCTGGTCCTAGCCTGCCGCCCCTTCTGCTCGGAGCAGACCGTAGATCTCTTATCGACATTTCTCAGAGGTCGTGTATCGGTCGTTATTGAAAGTTGATCATCCTTGGATCCAAAGCTAGACTTTGGCGTCCGATGCCTCCTCCTCGTTGGTGTACAATATGCAAAGACACCACTGCCCTGGCAGCTGTCGGGGGCGCCAGAGAGCAGCCGCATGCTTGGCGAATGGGGAGGCCAAGTACAGCCAAACCTTGCACGGGATTGTTTAGGGAATAAGCATTATTTACTAAATCAGGGAGATGTTCGGAAAGAGCTGGTCTTGAGGAGGGCCGTGGGCGCAAAGGGGATCGTCGAGCGGGAAGGGAGGGAGCGGTTAAGACGTGGTCGTAAGCGAGAGATACAGCTCTTGGAGAATAGCAGGTGGTTCGGGACGGTAATATCGAGAGAGCGGAGACGAAAAGGTAAAGGTTTCTCAGCCAGGCCAAGCCAAAAGACGGGCGGCAAAGGTCGTATTCGTCGAACGGCAAGCTGAGGCAGCAAGGGATCGAGTATGCGACCTGCAAGAGACGTCCCGGGTGCGTCAGATTGGCTGCGGCGTCGAGAAGAAAAGCGAATGGAATGGCGGGCACGGATGGAACGAGGGTGAGCAGGATGGCCAGGCTGGAGATCGATGGTGTTGCTGTTGGATGGAGGCAAGTGTTGGGTCGCTGTGGTGGGTATTTGCTGATCGTGATTCCTGGGCCCTGGATCTGTACGTACGCGAGCTGACCCCGACAATACGGGCGGGTTTATGCTGGTAGGTCCTCCACTGGCCTTTGCCCAACTGAGCTCCCCTGGCGGCGATGCTGTAAGCTAGCAACGAGGCACGCTACCGGTGTCTATGGGCCTTAGTCGACGTAGCGTAGGCACCATAGCCCCAGAGTCAGGCTGCGCTTGATTGATTGACCTCGGCCAGGTGATGGTGGTACGATTGCGAATCTAGGTAGGTAAGGTACTTGTCCAGCAGCAGGTCGCAGGTCTGGGTCACACTTGGCCGGGCACAGACACGGCAGGCAATGCACAAGATACAGGCTAATTACTAATGGGACTCAGCCAAGCAACAATAACGGGAAACGTTGGTGCAGGTACATGATGCCTGTGCTCTGGCAGGTACCCTCAAAACACTAACGGAGGCACCGCCAGCCCGGACGAAGCCACGCAACGCTTGCCAGAGGGAACGTATTTCTTCCGTCTTGGATTTCAGCACAGATTTGGCCGAGAAGGCCATTCATTTATGAGCACTTGCCGCATGAGCCCCGCGGGATCCGCGGGGCCTCTGGAATGTCAGGAGAAGAATGACTCAAACGCCCTCAAGAACACTCATCCCATTATGCGCAACTCAAAGCTCCCACCTACAGAGTACCTGCCAGCAGGGGGCGGCACTGATTGGTGTGGTCATCCCGCCGTACGATGCAGCCCTGCCTCTGCCCTTCGTGTCTCTATGCACATAATTAGGTAGTACGAAGGGAGAAAAGCCCCCAGCTCGATACTAGCATCCAAATAGTAGGCAATACATAAACAGGAGCTACTCCAAAGGGGCGAGGGAGATGAAATAAAGGGACCAAAGTCGAAAGCTATCCACGACCAGATGGAATTGGCTAGGTACCGACTATCACAATAGCCCTGGTCATCCAAGTGGCTTGCGGATGAGCCAATTCCTCCTAGGTACAATGATCTCACACATCAGACTCCATTGCGTATGCGTATACGAAAAATGAGCAGCCATATGGCAGAACCTAGAGGGGGAGCCAGCTGATGCTGCGCCCCGTAGACGCGATGGTATTTACAGCCCCAGCGGGAAAGTGGGCACCGGCCCAGGAACTGTTTGTTTCGCATCCTTCAAAATCTTCAGGAAGCGATCAACCTTCCTTCAGCAAATCTTGTTTTGAAAACCACGGCCCGAAGCCGGCTGCAACAGCAAGCACAAACCGCCTGGGCGCATTCGCTTCTGCGGGACAAACCTACGATCGATTTGCTAGCGGAGTGCCACACAACGATTACACACATGTACATAATCATAGCTGTGATTCTTCATTAGCCTCTCAGGATGACGGCACGTCTCATGTTGCTGGGCCCGGTGCCCCACAAAAGAACAACAGATACGAGAAATGCCAATGCCATGTCTATTCCGCAGCTTGCCGTTCATTGGACCCTCAGAAATCCAGGCAAATAATTCTCAACCTTTCATTCGTCCGCGGCCCCTCTGTCACAAGGCAGTGCCAGCTATTGATGCTATTTTAAGCAGATTTCGCTTTTCCCAATATGGACAAACTTGTGAATCCACCATGCAATGTGGGGGGCGTTATACATGGTGAGCTCACGTCTGCTTCAGTCAATCTACCTCAGTCCCGTAAACACAGCTAGGTGTAGCCCGAACCCAGAGGCATGCGCATATGCCAATGTGTCATGAACGCATCCGGTGCCAGAAAGAAGAAGGTGTCAGTGAAGGAAAGGGGGGTAGTTTCGTCCTTGGCCATGTACGTCATAGCGTCACATAGTTCCCTTCCCTTTAATATGCGATCGGAGCGTATACTCGATCTCTATATCCCCGGTTTGGCCTTCTTTCCATATATCCACTGTCGTCATAAGCCGCCTTTCGACACTGAGGGATTCATGGGTGTTTCGAAATTCTAGACGTTGAAGCTTGAGATCGTCGAAGATTAAATGTTTCGCCATGATAGACTTGAAAGTAGACGAGGCTTCTACCACTGACAAAAGAGAATGTGTCTCATATGCACGTGGTATTCTTTCAAGTGGGAGATTTTTCGACATTGATGAAGTTCTACGCCTACATTGGCGTTTTGAACTTGATATCCCAGCAGTACCCTCTTCATTCACCTGTCTTGGCATTGTTGAGCCAGGCCTTGCCACTGGGACCTCGATCCTTGGTAGCAGCTTGCCTGGCTCCTCTTCAACTGCTTGATGTTGATGTAAAGCTGAAAGGTAGTATGGGTGAGAGGTGGAGGGCCCAGGGGTGCTGGTATCGTAAACAGAAAGGCTAGGAGAAGCTCCAATGCTATGATCCAAGTTGTAGTATGGCGAATCAGGAAGAGGTAAGATCCTTCTCGATCCAGGCATGCCTGAACTCGTTTCACGTTGCTCCCTGGTCGATGAAATTGATCCCGAAGTCTCATCTGGATGCAGCATTCGCCTTCGGGTAGCTGTCGGACTTCTTCTAAGTCTGGAGGCCAACCGGCGACCCCGTCTCGGACTAGAACTGTGATCAATGCCTCGATATCTATCATCTGGAAAGGCGTTGACAAAATCGGTTGAAGCTGGGGGCGTGTCCATCGCATTTGATACTTGTCTTAAAGGCGTACTAGTCGGAAGAAGATGTCCAGGGGGAAGAATGGTTTGAGCATGTCGCAGAGGCTGACTGCGGGACATCGTCTCTGTCCTTGCTATGCCTCGGACTAGATTTAACTGTTGACGAGATCCCATTCTCCGGCCAGCAATCGGACTTAATATAGGGGGCGAGTGAACCCCGTTGTCATGATCAAGCCTCGAGGTATCCCCGTTTTCATTATTGAGAATATTCAACCTTCCCTCTCGGACTGGTTGCAGGGGCAGTCGACGATCTCCAATTCGTTCCGATGACATAGGCTGTGGGGATGGCGGAGCGGCTGATTGGTTTGTTTCAGTTGCAGTATCGTCAGTAGCAATCTCAAAATCATACTGATTTGTGGGCTTGAAATATCGATGGATATCTCCCATGGAAAGTGCTTGGCCAGGTAGGGACGCGGAAGCCTTCGGCTTTCCCTTTGTCGATACGCATTTGTTCGGCAGCAATGGCCTCAGGGGAATCTGAATCATGACTTCATCACTGCTGCTGACCTTATCAGTACCGTTGCTCTGGGTGCGATCAAGATTAACTCCAAATCCCGTTCGCATTGGGGCATACGAAGTGGATTCGCCTGTCCCCTCTTGAACATCCGAGTTGCTTGCCTTCTTGTTCGGTAGAGATTGTCCAATTTGCAGGCTCTCGTTTTGCCTGTTCATCTTGTTGTACATAGAGAGGCTAGTATCCTAGTACATGTATCAGCTACTCAGTTCATGTTGAATTGTAGTTTTCATGGCTAGCCAGTTACCTTTCCCAGGGGCGAAGTATCCGGCGTAGGGTGCTTGCCGACACCTTGAAGCATTCCCGAGAAATCAACACCTTGTCTTGGATTATCCTCCGGCTGATGCGCCTCCTGAGCTGACTGCTGATAAGTTTTGCGACAAAGGGCCTCGAAACATCTCATAACTTTTTCTTCCTCTGCAAAGAGTAGCTCGTCTTTAAGAGGTGTTACATTCACATCATAACGATCTGGGTCACATTGGATGTTTAGTTGGATGAACGGAATCGAAACACGGCTTGTGGCGGCGTGATCGCCGCTAGCTTCGGAGAGAAAGGTCTTGACGGTAGAGATGAATCTCAAAGATATCCCGCGATTGGATGTGATTGGCCTCGAATTGACTGAAAAGAACCTCCCCTTAGCTTTCGCTTTTTTAAGGTCGAATCCAGGCTTTGGTAAAAAGGCCTGCAAGCCCATCACAACACCCTCGCCAACATTGAGTTCATATTCTACGTTGGGGAAGTCCCGCGTCGTCCCAACATAGGTACACTGGTTTAGTAAGTCCCTCCCAAATATCTGCATCGCCGCATCCTGCAGCGTGGCTATACGAGAGGGTGCATAGTCCCATCCATTCTTCGAGTCGTTGAGGACTTTAAAAGATAGTTTGATATCTGGCCGAGCGAGGGCGTAAGCTCGAAGTAACTCCTTGATCTTCGACAGCGTCTTCTGGCTCTCCTTGACGGCATAACGTTTTCTGATTGGCATTTTTTCAAACAGGAATTCGGCCTTGACTGTGGTTCCCATTGGTGCCGGCGTGACATCCCTCCCCTCCACCCCACCGACACCAGATTTCAAACGGAGCTGGGAAGCCATAGCATCACCACGCGCTCGTGTCGTGATTGTAATAGCAGCGATAGAGTTAGCGCTTGCGAGAGCTTGTCCCCTGAAACCCAAGGTCTTTATCCCACGCTTTTGGAGATCGTCGATTGTCTCCAACTTGCTCGTATGAGATCTCCGACCAAGCGCATCGAAATCAGCTGGCGGGATCCCAAAGCCATTATCGCGGACGAGTATCTTGTCGACCGTGTTGGCCGAGATCAGAATACTGATATGCGTCGCGCCCGCATCAATTGAGTTTTCCAGGAGCTCCTTTGTGAGTGCCAACGGATCCACAATGTCTAATGACGCACCGAGCTGCCTGACCGTTGCTGAGGGGAGTTCGACGATGCCCATGCTGAGACGAGAACGGAATTCCAGCTACATGGGTTAAAAACAGAAAGAACAAGCCAGGATCACTGAATGGCATGCCACTTGTTTCCTGATGAGGAGAAGGAAAACACACGAATCGAGGTTGCACATTTTTACCATCTTTCATTCAAAAATTACCAGGCAGGAGCCAGCCGAGGGGCGCTCCTGCCATTGTAGACAAAAGACCTCCTTCACCATAGCAAGAGGCAGGTGCCAATCGTTACCAAGAGCCAAGAAATGAGAAGAGAAAGCGCGACCCAATTTTCACCGCGCATCGGGGACAGATATATACCTATCTCCTGGTGTCTTGTCAGACGGTATCGATAATCGACTAAAGCTGGAGAGCAGGGTAACCTGGAGGCGTCCTCTTTGCTTTTTGAAGAGGCTCTAGCATCCAGCCTATCATCTACGTCCACCGTAGTTAAGGATTCTGCCGACCTGCAAGCATGCCTGGCTTCCTCGTCACGTTCACCTGGAATAACCCTAGGAGTGCGTCCTACGTCGAGGTCCGCATCGAGGCAATTTGAGCAGAGTTGCTTCCGGTGCTCACCGGCGATCAACTTTCCGCGGTCACGAAACTTGGCAAACGAGTTCTTCAGAGCGAACTACCAGACCTGCACCCAGTTATCAAGCACCACAAGGAGTCAAACGGGCTTACCATCGCGGCCATCCTCTACCACAGCCGAGGCGACTTGGAGCTCGGTCCATGTGACGCCTGCAGGAGCACAAAACGAGAACCCCTTCAACGGGTGCTTCACGCGGTGTGTCGCCGGTTCGGCAGCACTTAACTGCTTCCACCAAACGTAATATGTTATAATAAGACCGAGCCACTAGATACAATTAACCTGCTAGGAGACTATAACTACCTGAGGGGGGATATTAGAAGGTCAGGGAAGCTACGAACGCAGTAGCCGGTATAGAAGTTAGTAGCGTTATCCTTGAGGTAGGTAGGTAGTTAGCGAAATTTACTCTTTCGTTTCGCCTTCGCTATTTATTTTCGCGTCCGCTAGTATCAGAGTTATTTTCTTTACAAGTTCGATTATACAGTACATTGACCGTTTAGGCAGCAGCAGCATCAACCTGACGGCCACACTCTGTTCCCCCAAGATCTGACCCGAGGTCAGGCCAAGGGCTGCGAAGTCGGACAGGTTGGGTGCCCACGAACCGGACCTGATTTAATCACTACTTGCCAAGCCTGCAACACACCTGCCTTTTCTATGCCCTGGCCACTTGAGCCCGTGGGATCACTATTGCTCGGTCAGCCCTTGTCTCGCAAGATGCCGCCGCTCATCACCGCGGTCCTGGCCCTCGCACCACGAGGCCAGAGCGATAGGACTCGAAAGTCAAGCCCACGACGAGGTAGCCGCCAAAGGCACCGACGGAAACTGGGCGGCGGGAACCGTGGCCAGCATCGGCCTAAGGAAGAATATCTTGATGCATGAGGCCTCGAGGCCCCGGGTATAAATTAGCTAGCATGTCCCATAGATACATTACCTAGATATCTGGCTAGCTGCACAATATACCAAGACAGCCTAAGCCCACGCACACAGCGATGTTTTCCTGCACACTCAGCCCGCTCCCGTCATTTCGATCATCTTGCTGTCGCAGACCGAATTTTCGACTATGCTTTACCGACAAGCTGCTCTTACGACATGGCGAAAGCGCGGATGAATTTCGCAAGCTTCTCTGCACCCTCAAGAGGAACAGAGTTGTAGTTGCTCGCGCGAATTCCGCCAAGCGAACGATGTCCCTTCAACCCAGTCAATCCTTGGGCAATACCCTCCTCTAGAAAGGCTCTCTCTGCGGCGTCGATATCATCGCCCTTGGTAACCCTGAAACAAATATTGATACGCGACCGTACTGCCTTGTCGGGAATGATCTTATAAATCTCGGGGAAAGCTTCAATAGCATCGTAGATAAGTTTGGCCTTCTTGTCAGACACGGCTTGTTGTCCTTCAACCTTGTCGGGGTATGTTTGCAAGAACTTTCCAAGAACTTGGCCGATGATATATACGCTAATAAATAATTAGACCTGTTTATGAATCGTAAATGCGACTGTAATTACGACTCACTCGAAGATACTTAACGTATTATAAAGACTGTTGTTCTTTGCAATAATCTCGTATTTGAAAATGGTAGGTGGAATAGGAAGACCTAGTTGCCTCATAAGACTCGGAGGAGGTTGAGATATAGCAGGCGGTAAAAAGCTTTTCTTAATAACCACAACAGTAATACCAGTTAGGCCTAGGTTCTTTTGGGCACCAAAGAAGATAGCGGCGAAGTTGTTAACTGGAATCTTTTTTGTGAGGATGTTCGAACTCATGTCCGCGACAACGATTGGTCCCTTCCCATCAGGCCCTGGCTGAAGAGACTGGGGAAAGTCAGGAAATTCAACCCCATCAACCGTCTCATTTGCACAAAAATACACCAAGGCAGGATCCTTGGACAGCTTCCAGGTGCTCTCGTCTGGAATGGTGCCAAATTTGCCGCCGTTCGTCCTGCGGCTGTCTGTCGCAATATTGATATGCTCCGAGCCAAGAAGCTGCTCGCCCTCAACTGACGCTTTATGTGACCAGCTACCGGTGACTAAGTAATCAAGCTTGAGATCCTTGTTGACGGCCTCCTTGAGTTGCTCGATCGCCTTAGGGTCCGTAGAATCGCACCCAGTATCCCTAAGGATGTCTTGCAACTTACGAGCAACCCAAGTGCCAACAAAGTTATACACTGTAGCAGCTGCGATTTTATGGTGTTAGACTTTCTTCTTTAAGACAAATGGAGAGCTGAAGAAGCACCATCTCGGAAGGCTCTCTTGGTACTACTCCCAAGTCATGACCACGAGAGGAAAGGAGTTGCACAAACCAAACTGTCCTGTGCCGCCGCCTTGCATAAGGAGTATCTCGTAGCTATCTGGGATATCAAGACAGGAGGCTAGATCGGCTTTAGCCTGATTAATTATATCGCTAGCTAGCTGGGAGCGATGAGAGTGCTCGGCGATGCCCAGGCCGGTATCATGATAGTTCAGGAGAGCTTTGGCACCTTCCTCGAGGACGCCAGTAGGTAGCAGAGCTGGGCCTGCACCAAAATACGTGATATCTGATCTGGAGGGCATGGCGCCTCTGCAGTATCTCTACTTGAAAGTATTATCGAGGCTCACGGTTTTTTTGAGAAATAATAGTCTGAATGTTTGTCAGAAGCATGAAGAAGTTTTACTGTGCAGAAAGTGGGGGTTTTTTCCCTCTGCATCCCTTGAAGTAGTTGCGACCAGAAGCCCCGCTTGACGCAATGCATCTCTAATAATGGCGGGTGTCCCCCACTAGGACCCGAGGACCCCTCCATCCATCCAGATAGCTCGAAGCTTCCCCCCAAACCATCAATAAGCATCAATTTATCCCGATTCTACAAAACCTGCCTTCACACCCTCAACCTGCGCCCTCCCACCCTACCCAAGTTCGGAGCCATGTATCTCAAAGGACCCAGCCCCCAGCACCACGACGGCTCCGGCCTCCGAGTGGCCATTGTCCACGCCCGATGGAACGAGACCATCATCGAGCCCCTCGTCGCGGGCGCCAAGGAGAAGCTCCTAGCTGCCGGCGTCAAGGAGTCCAATATCGTCGTCCAATCCTGCCCTGGCTCCTGGGAGCTGCCCATTGCCGTCCAGCGGTAAGTAAAACCTCAACCCCCGGCTCCAACTCAGCGCCGCAGACTACCTACCCCGACCGATCCGGCCTCGGAACACCCAGCTAACTCAAGAGCCTTCCTCCTCAGCCTCATCTCTGCCTCCCAGATCCAGTCCAACACCACCGGCGCCCCCTCCGCAACGGACCTGCTCGCCGCGTCCACCTCCGACCTGACCTCCCTCTCCACCAGCTCCTCCTCGGGCCCGTTCGACGCCGTCATCGCCGTTGGCGTCCTCATCAAGGGAGAGACGATGCACTTTGAGTACATCGCGGATGCCGCCGTGCACGGCCTGATGCGGGTTCAGCTGGATACGGGCATCCCCGTCATCCTCGGCATCCTCACCGTGCTCAATGAGGAGCAGGCAAAGGCTCGGGCTGGCGTTGACGGCAAAGGCCACAACCATGGCGAGGACTGGGGCTCCGCAGCTGTCGAGATGGGTGTAAAGAGACAAGAATGGGGCACTGGAAAGATCGAGGGATAGAGTCAGTGATCTTTTACCAAAAAAAAATAGGAAATCGATGTCTACTTGCTCCCTTTCGTGTATACGGTCCGTTCACATCATGGGCATCATACTCACAGAAATAGAAAAGCTATTAACTACAAGGCATCGCCCAAATGTAGAATTTTCAGAATCACAAAGCAAAGTACATTATCCAAATGTTGTAATTGTCATGCAAAAAACCTGCTCATGGCACGCCACCACGACATTATTCAATTACCACGTAGAGACAAAAATCTATCCAAGATGCAAAACTATCAAATCCACCAATCCAGTTGTAATATCATGGAAGAAAGGGCCAGAAAAGGGCCATGTAAGTGGTGTATATAGATGTGAAGTTAAAACAGTCGGTCCCCATCTGTCAGAGGGGGGGAAATATCCATGCATCATTGACAAATTACCCGAGTTTGACCACCAATATTATCCAATTCAGAGAAACTTTTTTGTTTTCACAATGATCGTAGAGAGTTGAAATGCTCAGACCTTTAGAAGAGGTCCGTGGACCCCTTTTTGAGCCGCCACCTAGATTTCTTCTGCTCCCTCTTTGCCTTCATAGCGGCCCATCCTTCCTCATCATCTTCCTCGTCACTGTGATTATTATTATTCTTGGCCTCGCTCACTAGCTTCACAGTAGGCACCACCTTCGAGTCATCGGGAGTAGCAAATGATGACAAAGCCGTCGCACCCGACATAGACTGGGTCCGCTGGTGCATAAAGTTCTGGCCTGTGAGGGACCCTGCCTGTGATACAGGTCGGTAGCGCCCTGGGAGTCCGATATTGCTTCGTTCGGAGGGTGCGATGGAAGCACTGTATCCAGCGCCAGGTCCCATTCCATTGCCAAAAGCAGGCTGCATGAAAGAGGAGGAGCTAGGCTGGATCATGCTCATTGTACGCATGCTTGCATCCATCCTTCGGGGTTGAGTGAGCGGCGGTGATCCACCAAAGGACTGGCCTGACTGGAAGTCGGCGACAGACTGGCTTCCTGCAAACCCTCCATATGGCTGCTGCTGTCCTGGGGGCGACCCCATCATCTGTTGCATCATTGGAGGAGACATTTGCTGGACCATTTGGGGGGATCCATTTTGCTGCTGACCAGCCATCATTTGCATAAACTGCATTTGCATCTGCAAGAACGAGGACATTTGCTGTGACATCTGGAGCTGGGCTTGGTCCTGAACGCTCAAATGATTCGCGTTCTGTGGCGGTTGCTGCTGGGGTGGCATGCGCATACCACCATTAAACATCATAGGGTCCATGCCTCCTCCAAAGTGAGCTCTCTGAGTTTCCAAATTTGGACTGCCACGCCGCATTGCTCGGTTGCGCTCTTCCGTAGCAATAACACCAATAAGGCCTCCTGGGTGCATCGGTGGTGACTGTTGAGGAGGCGGCTGCGGGCTACCAATACCGAACGACATTGATTCACGAATAGCAGGCCGGGCAACGCCGGCACCAACAAATGGATCCTGCGGGAGGTTACGAGCAAAAGCTGGAAGAGTGGAGAAACGTTTGGCAGAATTAGAAGCAGGCTCTCCTACAACAGATGCAGGTCGTCCCGGCTGTAACATAGTCGAGGCCCGGAGGTTAGGGTTAGATCCAAAGGATGTGAGGCGACTAGGAGCCCGGCTCTTATGCGGGAACCCGTGCGCTTGAAGGATGGCCAGAGGAACGTCCTCGTCCTCGTCCTCGTCGACTGCATGTCCAGGTTCAGGTGACGGGGTCTTGTTCGGTGCAAGGTGCGGTGCACTCAGCGACGTCCCGAGAGTCGGGCGGCCTGGAGAAACGGGTGTAGTACTAGCAAGTTCACCAGTCGTCTTCATGTTTCTCTGTCGATAAGCTGTCATCTGAGCTTGCTGGTTCCTCCTCTGTTTAGCTTGTTGCTTCAACTTATCATTCTCGTCTTCTTCGTCATCGTAGTTGATTGGATCCTCGTCGTCATCATCATCCGCAGGCTCACCATAAGCAGCCTTCTCCAGGCCCTCGCGCTCCTTGTCCCGCCGATATCTTTCAAATTCAGCAGGTGTCATAACTCGGTTGTTCGGGTTATCAGAAGATGCGTTCGCCGGTCGAGGGACTTCCCTGATCATAGTTCTCGAGAATTGCGACGAAGTACCCGCAAACATATTATCATCCCTTGAAAAGTCTGATGCCACTGCTCCTCGGCCCATAACAGTAAAGTCGTCTTCTTCCCGCCCATATCGCTCAACTGCGGCGTGTTCGGGGATTTCGGTTGTCAAGAACTTGCCAGCCGCAACCGAATCAGCGAGGAGTCTAGCATCCTCATCCTCCATCGGAGACCCAGGGCTCTTCACAGACCTATATTCGAATGAAGGCTGATGTCGAGGAACGGGTGGTGGCTGGTCGTATTGTGCTGCTTGGGGGGGGCTCATCAGAGTCTCTCTCGACTGGTACGAATTCTGACTGTTCCACGACGGGGGAGCTGAGTCAACCGGGCCCTTTGTGGCTCCGATATCCAATGGGGGAGGCACTGGTCCTGGTTGTTGAGGGCGCTGCTTCGTGGGTGATGGCGATTTGTTCTGTTTACCATCCATCCGGAGGGTGGCCACGCTAGCCCGCTTGTCGAATTTTGAAAACATGGAGCCGAAGTCACCACCCAGATCGAAATTGCTCTCCTCCTCCAACTTGGGTGGAGTAGCTGTGCTGGTTGTCGAGGCCGTCATAGCCCTGGCTCTGCCATACTCGTCCTCGCGTTGGAATGTTGGCAGTGGTGGGACATCCTCCTGCTTGGGAGGGGGGGTGTGATGTTTGCTCTTTATCCCGAAGGACAAGGTTCGTCCTGCACGATCAAGAAAACTCGAGGTGCTTGATTTAGTAAGTGGTCGTGGCATGGTTTCTTGAGCAGCCGGCTTTCGCTTTCCGCCGCGGTCATCCTGATTGTTGGCCATGTCTGCTGAGGACGGAGCCGTAGATGCATTACTATGCCGTGATGAGTTGTCGGTCGATGTGGCCTTTGTGGTGTTCGACGCTCCGCTTCCGCTACCTCGATTAGCACTAGAAACCATCAAAGGTGTTAGGGATCAAGAAACAGGCTGGAGACGGTATGCATACAGGGACCGAGAACAGGCTCCGAGATTAAGGGCGACTCGTGCTATACATACCGATTATTGTTCAAACCAGCAAATATGTTATCCTCAACATCCAACTCAGACGGGCTTGGCTTATGCATGGGGACGCCAGAGGTTCTTGCCATTCTAGCGCCCCCATCAAATGCCCGCGGGGGGGGAGAAGGGTGGCGTTCGAGAACACGAAATGACGGAGATTCGGGGGATGGTTGAACGGCTGTCAAGTCATCCGCGGTGGATTTCCGCCGGTAAAACGCGGTCGAAAATCTAGGCATGTAGAAAGATCACCGTGGACTATTCACAAGTGGCTACAGCCACTGGTAGCTTCAAGCTGGTTGAGGCAACGAACGGGTTAACCCTCTACAGCCCGAGAAAACGAGGGATGCCGGGTGGACGTGAAACCGAAGGGTAGCAAAGCTATGCGCGGGTTCGGACTCGTCGATCGGCCGCCCAGTCACGAGAAGGATGCACAAGGTGTGACAAAAGATGACTGCATCGCATTGAAAGAAATGGAGGTCAGCGTCCGTAGGAAGCAGCAGGTCAGGTTTATGCCACGAGTCAAAGGCAGAGGGAATTGGGCAGAAAACGGTGAGGAACAGGCTGAGATGGAAAGGTCACGCCAGTCCCGTTATGAGAAAGCCCGAATGCTGGGGTGTGCTGAGACAGGCGACATGGGCGGTTGCCCAAGTGTCGGGAATGGTTGAGAAGGACTCACATTAATTTGCACCGATGATGGAATGGCACGCAAAAAGCAAGCCACACACACAAGGCTGTGGAGAGTCCAAGCCTGGAGGAGAAGGGGGAGGCTGAAGGAGAACAGGTGATATTAAAAAGATGGGCAAAGTAGCCAGAGAAGAGAGCAGCCGTATTCGGTGAAGCGAAGGTCTCGAAACGTCAGGCGAGAAAAGATGGATTTTGCCTGGCGTCGGTGATTATTCTAGTCGGGTCGAGTCGAGGAGGATGGACAAGATCTCGGGATCCGGGCAAGCTGGTGACGGCTCGTCGATTGCAAGTCGCTCAGGAGAGGAAAACGGGGGGTGGGAAAATACTGTATCGTACAGGAGGCACCGGAGAGACCAGGCCCGTATCCAATTCCTGATCCTGGTCGGAAGGACACAAAAATGGGAAAGCAAAACAACAAGCGGCTACAACACACGCTGCCGGTCGAGGACAAGGAAATGCGCAACGATGCGGAATTGGCAGATACAAAGGGCCAAAAGCGAATGTCGGGAGAAAACGAATGGGAGGCGTGAGTTTGCAGGCAAGGACACCACGTAGCGGGAGGAAAGGGAGAGGAGGAGGTGGATGGATGCAGTCTGGGTATGGGCAGGGGTTGCTGCAGGCAAGTGGGCAGAATGGACCTCCATGTCTCTGAACTCTGACGCTGCCGCCGGTAGGCCTGGCGACCTTCCCAGCACTAGCTACGGCACCTGGTGCACCTCCATAATTATCGAGCCAGGCGAGACCTTGCCTGTCTGTCAGTCCGTCTGCCAGTGATGTGATTCAGACCTGCCTTGCCGGCGACCTGGTTAAGGTAGCATTGAATACCTGACGTGCTGATACTACCTACGGGAAGGTTGGGCGGGCAAGTACTATGTACCTCCTCCGGCCGACAGGTACAGCTACATCCATTTGCAGCAGCATGGCCGTGGAGGCCATGGATGGCACGGAACCGCCGCAAATGATGCACCACACTCCACCCTCAACTCGTACCCAAATCGACACAGCTAACAGCAGGCGAGCGTTGCTGGAGGGCAGATCTCGTAAAAGATGGGGCCGAGCCATCGCAGCAAGTCGCTCTGGGTGACAACCACATCGAGCCATGCGCTGGGGTTTCCACTACCTACGCTACGTGCGCTACCACCGTTGATGCAGCACCTGTTTACATCCTACCAGCACCTG